AAGTCCACCTGTAGAATGGGGAAGATAATACCCATCTCATACAGCTGTTGTTAAGAATTAGGTGGTATAACTTATAGAGTTACACATATATACACACATATATATACTACACACATGTATGTAGAGTTTCCCAGCTAATGGGAAAGCATTGGACGAATGGTAGTTACTGTTATAATCATCTTCAGACTCAGTTCATTGCTACACTGTCAGGTCAAAAGGACACTGGGAACTTTAGGGATCATTTGGTTATGGCTCTGAAGTGGCAAGGCCATGCTCATTATAGCTCTTGTCAACCAGAGTTCCATTGTTTGTGGGTCTTTGCACATACCATCTGCGGTAACCCTCTCTGCTTCAAGACTCCACCTCTAACAGTTTGGTGATTGGTGGTACAGGCTTTGAAGTCAGGTGGCTTGGATTTAAACGTCAGTCTGAACACTTAGACTTGTGTGATCCTGTCACAAGACTTAAGCCTCAGTTTCCTCACCTGTAAAATGGGGATACTTATCATATGGAAGTAACATCAGGCCTACAAAGCTCCATGCGGGGTGTGTGGTAGGTGCTCCAAAAATGCGGACATTACTTGTATTCATTGCTTTCTTTCCCTGCTTGTAAAGTCAATCCTGATGATTCCACTGCATTGATCTCTCTCTTTATTAAGAATTTTCATTTTAGGGGCACCTGGCTGGCTCAGTGGGTTAAAGCCTCTGCCTTCGGCTCAGGTCACGATCCCAGAGTCCTGGGATCGGGCCGAATCGGGCTCTCTGCTCAGCAGGAAGCCTGCTTCCCCCTCTCTGCCTGCCTCTCTGCCTACTTGTGATCTCTGTCAAATAAATAAATTAAAAAAAAAAAAGAATTTACATTTTTTGGTGCTTAATGCACTGATCTATTCTTATACTAGATACACTCAGACTTTTAGATTTGACCTGTGTCCTAAGACTTAATTTGTTGAGAATGCTGTTTTCATGCTAAACTCAATAGGTTAGTGTTGGCTCTTTTGGGAAGGTACTTTGGACTAAGCACCGATTTAGATAGTCAATAAGGAGCTCCTATTTTCTGTAACAGACAGAGAAAGCTCTCCATCAGTGAATCTATCCTCTGTCTCAGAAAGCACCTTTATGTAGAATGAAAAAGGCCTTAGGATCTACATTGGTTTGGTTCTGGTTTCTACTTTCCCATGAACTTATAATATTGCCAGACCTCCAATTAAGTGAGAAACTGCATCTGGGTAGTTTCTCTGGTCACTCCTTCCCCTAGTTTCACAGTCCTCCTCTTTGCTGCCTTCCTGTCATTTAGAAAACATTTCAGTGTTAAGTTCAGCATAAATGTTTTACAGGTTTCCTAGTTCTTGACATCCCGGGCTTTATGGTTTATTGCCCTGTTTTACTAAGTCTTCTTGACTGTTTTTACTGTTTTATTCTTTTTCGAAAAGAAATGTTTTCTTTTGAACTTGTGAGTACTTAAGAAAAAAGACTGTGAAGACAAGAGTTGGCAGTTTAAAAGACATTTCCCTCTATCTGTTTCCTTTCAAGTTTGTTCCTGCCTCTAAATCTCTAAAATTAGGCACTTAGAAGCTTTGGGGGAAATGTGTGAGGAAAAAAGGAAAGGGTGAAGAGGGTGGAATTTTAAATTTTGACTTACTCTTTTCCAGAAGGTGCTTTACAAGTAAAAGCATTTTGTTTATATGCTCATACATATTTAGATATATGTACACACACAGATATGATGCTTTTTAAAAAGTGTGTTTCTGGAACCCAAGATTATGTAAATAATAAAATGCATCTCCCACCTACTGCTTCCTGAACCTGCCGTGTTTCATGTAAACGTAGAGAATTATGTATTTTTAGCATCTCTTTGTCAACTCTACCTCAGAAGAATCTATTGGTAAGACATAGTAATTCTTACACATCACAAATAACCGTATGTGAAAACATTTGATTAATCTTTCACGATTCACGTGATACTTTTCACAAATCTTAATATTTCATGAATCTAGTGAAGCATTAGTATGATTTTGCAGAGATGGAAAGAAGCTCAGTGAAGATAAGTGACTGAAGGTCACAAAGCCAGTAAGTAGAACTGCAGCGCTGTGACTTTGAAATCCCAAACCCAGTCTGTTTTACGGTGCCACATCGAAATCAAGGGCAAAATCCTCCATGCACGCTGAACATTTGAGGAAAAACACAAATAGTTTTGGTCTCAACCAGAAGAAAATCCAGTTACACATCTGGCTAGGCTACACCTACAGTTTAAGATTTTTTTTCCCTCATTGCACTGAGTCCTTATCTTAAACGTCAGTTGCTGGTGTCCTGACCTGGGTTGCTTTTGTGGCATCAAGATTACCCCCTTTCTTATCCTCCATGTTCCATCTGGTCCAACACGTTCAGTACAGGCTATTTTAAGTTAGATAGCATTTGTTTTGTCAGGTGTGTTTCAGGGTACAGCTTACATACAAATAAATTTTAGTGGGAGTCTCTGATTTTCAGTAGCATGGCTCATCTGCTGCTCATTTGTCTGCGAGCCTGTCAGCCCGCGCTGAGGCTCCTTGCAGGTTCAGCAGCCCTTAGCAAACTAACACACAGATTGCTTGTTTTCTGATTCAGGTCAACTATTGGTACCTGAGGCAGTTTCTCTTTAAAATATTATGCTAATTCATTGAAGCTCCTCTCACATTCAGGCCTCTCCACGAGTTGGAGATGGTATCATTCAGAACATGCATTGGGTGTTTCTTTCCTTTGCTCAGGCTGAGAGCCTGTTTCTCGGCCCGACGTCCCGGGTTCATCTTGTACCCATCTGGCTCAGCTGCACTGGCCAAGAGTAACAGAAAGTGTGCGCTTTTCTGAGCAAGTCCCTGGCATCTTGCCCGTGCCTTACAACACAACCGTCCTTCACACAATCCTGGGGACTAAGCCTATTTGTCTGTGTCCTCTACAACTAGCACGTGGCTGGCACAGGGCAAGCACTCCAGAAAAAGTTCTAAATGAATGGATTCTCGGGCCCCTGCTGAAGTTACATCTGTCAGACACAAATTACCTGATTATAAGTAGTTTTTAAGACTGTAATATGGGCCCTAGTCATACCATCTGGATCATGTATCTTTAAAACTACAATTTATCAAAACATATATAATGGGATTCTTACTAATTCAGGAATTATTTGCAGGGCAATTACTGCCAGCACTTCTAATGCTGCAGGGAAAGGAAATCATAGCTTCAGGGGCTGCTGTGTGTCCTCTTGCTGTGCACTTTGCTCTTTTCCTGAGAAGCAGACACAGGGTTAAAAAGTACTTTAGCAGGACAAGGTGCATATGGTTAACATTCATGTACTATACGCTTAAAGGTGGTTAAGATGGTAAATTTTACAACAGAAAAGAAAAAGTACTTTAAAAATTTTACTAAACAGTGCTAGATTGTTGGAACTTGAGAAAAAAAAAAATCAGAGAAGCCCTCATAGCCTCATTGAAAATTCACTGTTAGAATTCACTTAAATGAGCAGCTAGCTATTTGTGTATATACAAGAATCCCCTCTCAAAGAAATAACACTTCACACACTGGCTAAGTTGGTTAAGTCCAAGCTTTTTCACTGAAACTGCAAAGCTCTAGGTCACCTGGGTGGCACAGTCAGATAAGCGTCTGATCAGGTCATGATCTCAGGGTTGTGGGATTAAGCCCCACCTTGAGCCCCACATGAGCCTGTGCTCAGCATGGAGTCTGCTTGTCCCTCTCTGTCTGCTTCTCTCCCCACTTCTGTACATGCATGTGCATACTCTCTCTAATAAATAAAATCAATCTTAAAAAAAAAAAAAAAAGATCCTGGAAAGCCTTTCATTGTCTGGCCTCTTGTTTCCAGGTGAAACCCATATAGTCATCTTTTTTCAGTTCCTCAATAGGATGCTTACTTGTGCTTCACATTTTGCCCATCATTTTTATCTTTTAAAAAGATTTTAATTATTAAGATTTTTCCTATTTTTAAGTAACTTTTATACCCAGTGAGGGGCTTGAACTCACAACCCTGAGATTAAGAGTCACATGCTCCTCAAACTGAGCCAACCAGGCACCCTGATGATTTTGTTTTTTTTTTTTTTTTTTTAAAGATTTTATTTATTATTTATTTGACAGACAGAGATCACGTAGGCAGAGAGGCAGACAGAGAGGAAGGGAGAGAGGCTGCCCGCTGAGCAGAAAGCCCGATTCGGGGCTTGATCCCAGGACCCTGAGATCATGACCCGAGCCGAAGGCAGAGGCTTTAACCCACTGAGCCACCCAGGTGCCCCTGTGTGTTGTTTTTTAAGTAAGCTCTGTGCTCGATGTGGGGCTTGAACTCACAACTCAAAGAGTCGCATGCTCTACTGACTGGGCCAATCAGGTGCACCTTAATTTTAAGCAAACTCTACACCACACGTGGGGCTTGAACTCATGACCCCGAGATCAAGAGTCATGCTTTACTGACAGACAGCCAGGTGCCCCCTCTTCTCTTATTCGTCCTGCAGAGCTCAGATGAAATGCCATCTCTTTAGGGAGGCCTTCTTTCAACTCTAGAGGTTTTGAGTCTCTTGCTATCTCTGGACTAAGCCACTGATTGATCCACACTCTTGCAGAAGTCTGGATTTTTCCTCTGTAGCATTTAATACAATTTTATTTATATAATGATACTAGTCTCCCACAAGCCCGAAAGTTCCATGAGGTAGGGACTGTTTTCTCAGCTTGCTAACCATTGTGTCACCAGGGCCCCAGCAGGTACTCACTCAGTACTCTTAGCGGGTGGATACTTTGCCCAAATCTATCTTAGAAGATACTCTCCAAGGAGGAGGTGGAGAGGAGGTAGATGAAGTTTGTAAGCTTGGTGGTCAGACAGTGGCTGAACGGCTAGAGGGATGGAAGAGTTTGGGGCTGGTGTCATGAGGAAGCAAGGAGGGATCCTGGGGAGACTAAAAGATGCTCATTCAGTGAGTTTTCCCCAAGTCCCCAACATACCATTCCCACCCCAAATGAGTCATTCTTTAATCAAGTCTATGCAATTCATTTCTTTAGAGAAAGAGGTGAACCTCAGGGTATAAAACCAAGGCCAAAGTAACTTTGCAGAATTAGAATGTGTCCAGGAAACCAGTCACTATTCAACTGGATGGGACTTGAACACAGAAATGATCGTGTTCCTCCAAATAATTTTCAGTTTCGGAAGCTTACATTCCTTGAATATGTGGAAAGATAAATACACCTTCTTCTGCTGTCAGTTGCTGAGAAAGAGCTTTGTTCTCCCGATGGACCAACACTACTTCTTTTTTGTTGCTCTTTTCCCTTCTCCCTTCTTTGGTTTCCCCTTGCCACGAAGCTTCTTTAGGCGCAACTGCTCATCCTTGAAGTCCTGGTGCTCATCTCTGAATGGAGAAAGAAAAAATAGCCCGTATTTTGACCTGATGGGAAGAGCACACCAATCTAGCCCTGTTCCCTCAGGCTGCTCTGCTTATCAGTCCCTGACTTCTCAGGGCACATGCTCAACTTGGTGAACAGAAAGGACAGAGAGTCCCCAACATACACATGAGTTGTGTTCCAAAAGTTCATTTCTGAGTCACAGTGTCCCCTCATAGAAACAATGCCACAAGTGACTAAATTAACTGATGCAACAATGAGACAATGCTAATAATTACCTCAAATTTCCCTATAATGCTAACACTGACCATAGGGAAACAGAAAGTGGGTCTCAGCTTGAAGAGCTACACAGAGACCCTGAAAGCCCCAGGAATTAACACCTACTATGAGGGGAAGAGGTCTGAAGGAGGCTACCTTAATGGCTGTGGATAATCCAGACAAAAAGGCTGCTGGGGGAAGGCTCAGGTAGAATGAAGCCAAATCGACAGACAGGTACTCCAGAGATCAAGGCAGCAAGGGCTGTTTGTACATATGGCTGGGGTGTAAGCTGAAGACTGCCTGTACTCTAGAAAAACGACTGCATTCTAAGATTAAAAGCCTAGAACAGTATATAGCATTTAAATATATAAGGTTTGGAACCCATTTCAACCTGGGTTCCGATCACAGCTCCGTCTACCATTTAGTAGCTGTGTGACCTTGGATAAGTGATTTTCCCTCTCTGTATCTTAGTTTCCTCACCTGTCAAGGATGGATAATAATGGCATACAAATTAAATATAAGAGGGGGTTGTGCTGGGCCCAACTGTTAACTCCTTAGGTAGTTTTAAAATAGACTGGTTTTGTAGGGTACACTGTTCCATTCCGTTAACACGATTGGTATATATGACCTCTTCTCAAGTAGCTACGAACGCCCCCAAATCACCTATTCTCAACAGAGCAGCCAGAGTAATTCTTCTCAACTGTGACATTACGTCACTTCTCTGTTCACTGGCCTACAGATGGTTCCCCACTTCACCCAGAGCAAAAGCCAGGACCTTGTGTCATGGCCCTCAGAGCCCTTCATGATCTGCCTGTGGCCTTACCACCCTCTCCCTCTCGGTCACCTGCACTACTCCTGGAACCCGCCAAGAGAACGTGCACCTCATGGCCTTTGCTCTGCTCTTGCCTCTGCCTAAACAGTTCTTCCCCAGATCCCATTTGTCTCACTCACCACCTTCAAGTGCTTAAACCTCATCTTCTCAAAAAGGCTGACCTTGACTGTCCTGTTTAATACCGAGGCCCGTCCTCTCCCCACCCACCAGGTCCCCTCTGAGTATTCTTTCTGCTCAGGCAGCTTTACTGTTCCTTCCCCACGACACACTCAGCTTTTGGCATACTACATCATTTACTCATCCAGTACGTTTGCTCTCCTCTTCTTCCCTCCCTCCTCCATTCCCATCAACCCTCTGCCAGAAGGAATGCTCCGAAGCCAGGGGTCTTTGTCTCTGATGATATAGCCAAGCACCTGTGTGTCTGAGGGACTGAATGAGTCAGTGTTTGGGAGAACCTGTGCCACCCTCCCCGGCTTGTAGGTCTTTCAGTAATATTTTCTTTACTGAAGATTGTCTAGTTTCACCCTGCCTGATGCCACAAGAGGCCTTCCATTAGAGGCACCATTTACCATAACTAGTGACAAATACATGAAAATCATTGTGCTTTTCCATGGGTAACTAAATGCTAAGTATTTCTCCCCCCATCCCCAAAGATAGTCAGGGTTTATTTTTCAAACAAATGGAGAGCGGCACCAAACAGGTAAATTAAAATAGCTGAATGTGACTTTGTGAATGGGCTATACTTTTCTACTCAGGAGATCTGCCTTCCAATGATACTTTACTTGGGGTCATAATAAAATCAATTTTTATTTTCTGAGCTCAGACTAATAGCAAGGGAGAAAGTCCCAGAGCAAGTCCAGAAATTCAAAATATGTTATGGATTATAATCTCTATTATAATATATTAACTGAGAAAATCTATTCTGTTTTGCTTACTGCTGTTCTCCTAGTGTCCATCTTAAGTGTCTGTACATCGAAGGTACTTAAAAATATCCACTGGATGGATGAATGTACCAATTTTTAGCTATGTGGAATGAACTATTAATTTCATTATATTAGAGTGAATAGTACCAAATTAACTTTTGTACTGCTGTCCTAAGACAAGTCCAATTAAAACACTTTAAATCTTAAAAAGTAGATTTATTTATTTTTAAAATATTTTATTTTTAAGTAATCCCTACACCCAACACAGGACCCCAAGATCGAGAGTCATATGTTCTACTGACTGAGCCAGCCAGGCACCCAAAAAATAGATTTATTTTAACTTTGCACTATTACGCACTGTTTGAATGCTTTTATAATGAGCATGTATCAGTTTGGTAATTAAGACTTTCTTTTAAAGAAAATGATCACATAGGTATTTGATCTTTTCTCTTTCTAGAGGAATAGATAGTCCTGAGCACCCATTTCCTATACATACACAAACATATAACACATGGTGGTAAGAGCCTGTGCAATCTATGTATTACTCTTTTGCAGGGCTTCAGTTCATGTCCCTGAGATCAAGACCTGAGCTGAGGTCAAGAACAGGGTACTTAGCTGACTAAGTCACCCAGGTGCCCTCACATATTACTCTTAAAGGTGAACTACAACTTATTTAGACCAAATTAATATATCAAAAAGGGTACAAACTGGGATGCCTGGGTGGCTCAGTTGGTTAAGCAACTGCCTTCAGCTCAGGTCATGATCCTGGAGTCCTGGGATCGAGTCCCACATCAGACCCCCAGCTCCACGGGGAGTCTGCTTCTCCCTCTGACCTTCTCGCCTCTCATGCTCTCTCTCTCTCTCAAATAAATAAATAAAATGTTTTTTTAAAAAAAGGGGTACAAACTAAAAATGCCAGAAAAAAGGTTGAAAGACGTAAGAACTCCAATAAAACTTCCACTTGGAAGAAAGGCTCCTATAAACCAGCTAGGACGGAGACTGGTTTTGGGGCCGGGACTCTCTTCATCTGACCAATGAGAACCTGCTGTTCTGGCAGCCTGCCGGGGGGCAGGGGGTGCTGGGAGGGGGTGAGGTTTTCCTCTGCAGCATTTAGAGTGCTCTTAAATTAATAAATAATTAAACATATCTGTAGCTCAGTATCTCGTCAATCTTAGTCCAGTTTTAGACATAATTAAAATATGTCTTCCAATACATGCAGGTTTCCTTTTTTATTTTTTTCAGTGTGCCCATTATGAGCATTTTAAAAGCCTTTCTCCCCAAAACTATGCCTTTTGAGCCATCTGGGCACTATTAGAAGAATCACAAAACTGTAGGGAAAAAAGCCTAAATTTTTCCTTTTCTGATCTACTAGAAAAATCGAACAGGTTACTGTGTGGTTTTCGCCATTACCTATAGAGGCCAAGAAAACGCAGTGTCCCCATGAGTGCATAATAAGTGTTGTGATTTGGGTACCAGTCATAAGTCTCTTTCCTCTTGGCCAGAGGCTGCTCACTGAACAGTTTCACCACTTTCATGGATTTGGAATCAGTAGGCCTGGCCACCTCACCAAACAGCCGGGCACTCAGACGAGTCATGCGCAAGGCATATTCTGAAAGTGAAGACATTTCTTGAGCAGCAAGGAGGAAGAGTACCTACAGAAAATGAGAAGATAAACAGATTAGTGTGTGAAATTCCAAGATTATCTAATGAGCACTTTACAAAATAAAAACAGCAAGCCACATGTGAATCAGTCATGTGGCTGGCAGGACATGCCTTCGAGTTGAGAACTATCCACAGCCCAAATGGTGGCTTCCTTTGCCACCATTTGCCACTTTACATTTCTTATTTCTACATTCAATGTTTTCACACTACCACCTTGCTGCACTGCCCTTTATAGGGTGAACCATTTTGTTATTTACTGATAGTTTACCTATTTGTAGGCTAGATGAGGACAGGCAAATGAGTTATCCAACCACAGCATTATTATACCTTCAGAAAACACCCACCTCAGCACTCTGTAGAATAAAAATGCTGACTGCTTGCCATCTAAAGGTTTAATCATGGCAGAGAAATAATTATCCTGTTGTCTTTATTATCAGCCCTTTGAACACTGTTCTCCTCAAGGGCTCCAGATGGCTCTGAGAACTGCTAATGAGTTATGAGGTCATTTAGCCTCTAGGCTGCTGGACTGAATTCTGCCTAGAGACCGAGAGCCATTTGGGAGAAACAAAACAGAGACAGTAGTCTTATAGAAATAAACTCAACAGCCCTTAAGATTCATTTTATTCCTGAATAGAAGGACTTATGGGTTATAAGGTTATATTTTATCTTCCATCTTATATATTCTGCTTTAATGCATTATAAGTTCTTACTAGCTGTAAACAGTAACTTTTTCTTTGGAGGCCCAAGCTCAGAATGTTGAAATAGGTATAAGGATGATATCTGTAATAGGCAGAAATCACAGCAACATGTATCAAACATTATGTAGGCAATACATAAAAATCAAGAACACTGCTGGTGAAATAACTGTATCATTCCAGACCAGATGTAGGGTTACTGCTGGCAGAATATGCTACTTTAAGTGAAATTTTGTAGTGAGATGAGAATCTTTGCTAAGAGACTGCCCAGGGGCCAGTCCAGTGGAGATGAAAAAGAGTTGCTATCCAAACAGAAAAAAGGTATAAACTTATTTTGAAAAAACAATGGGAGAAAAACAAACCCAAAACCCCAACCCTCATAGGGTACCTGGCTGGCTCAATCAGTAGACCACATGACTCTTGATCTCAGTCAGGGTCATGAGTTCAAGCCCCATGTTGGGCACCAAGTTTACTTAAATAAATAAATCTTTAAAAAAGAAAAAAAATCCTCCTAAGCAAGAATGGGGCCAAGTAAATTTCAAAATACCTCTTGGAAGAAAAAAAAAAAATACAAAACCCCAAACCTTATTTAAATTAAGGAATTTTTCATGTCCATTTCTAGATCCATTGAAAGAGCAGAGGCGGACCTCAAACCAACTGCAGAATGCCAATCTCAAACCATTTACCAATCTGAACACCCACCGAACAGGCCAATAGTGCCATCTGAAGGCCAGCAATGGGAGAACTGTCAGGTCCAGTTCTCTGCAACCTGGGGATCACCTGCAAACCTTTTTCCTTTTCCTTTCACCCCCCCCCCCTTAAAATCTGCTTCTCTCTCAACTCTTGGTTCATCATGTGGATAGGAATGGGTTGGGCTGGGTTGTTAGGGGTAGGGTTATATTTTCATCAATGAGGAAAAAAAAGGCATTAACAGTTTAATGTATAAATAGGAAATATTAACAAATCAGTGCTATAAACCTTTAAAGGCTTTACAGATGCCCACGAGTTGCCTTCAGAGGCTACAGTTTCTTTGCGTGTTTTACCTTTTCTCTTCCTCCAGATGAATTATCTTTTTCCCTACATCAGATAAAAGAAAAACTAAAAAACGGTTTCTTAGTCAACTTTGCTTTGTTTCGCTTAATTGCTATAATGGCATTCAAATAGATTTCTGTTGCAAGTGCACAGTATTTCCAGTTATACGGTGGCCAGGGAACTGTTGTTTTGTTACAGTGTTCTCAGACAAATGTGTTCCAACTTTCATCACTTTATTTTTCAAATGACGAGGCAGCATAGAGTCCTGAGGCCTAGGTTTGCATCCTGGCTCTGCCATTTACTTGCTGATTGTCACTTTTTACTACCTTAAAATTTTTAATTGGAAAGCGTTACTTAGGATTTTTTTCAGGACCCTAGTATGCCCCCTTACAGAATATTTCAATTTTATCTTAAAAAAAAAAATGACTATGTTAAAGACATTAAAGTAAAAGGCAAATAACTTAATGCCCCCCCCGCCCCCCTAAGCTCCGATGCAGAAATGCCGTCAGATGAGCTGAGAAACAGGCCTGCACGCGACCTAATCAGGGAAATAGTAACTGCGCCGGAGAGGAAACTACGCTAGCGTCCCTCGTTTGGTAAATTCCCCAATTTACGCAGGAAAAGGCCAACTGGTTTGTAGGATGGTTAGTAGCTGGTTAGTAATGAAATCGATTCATCTCATTCTTGGCGACTGTAGAAGGTTGGAGATCCTCGCAGGGCTTCTCTAACGACCGCCCGTGTCTCACTGCAGGAGAGCCCCCCAAAACTCTCGAACAATCTTACCTAGTCGCGACCTTCCTCTCCCACGCGACCCTCTCCCGGAAGGCCTGCCCCCGGCCGTGCTTCAATCTCCGGCGGGAGTTTGCAACGGGAGCAGTGGAGAAACGGAAGCTCGCGGATAGAGGGGAGCCCTGGTGGAACCCGGAACTACTAGCGCTCTCTCTCGGAGGCTTCAAAGGTCACACCTGGCACCCTGCGTAATGAGGACAGTGAGTCGTGTCTGCGGACTGGAGATGGTTGTTTAGGGAGAAAGGCTGACTTTAGGGGAATGTCTTGCAGCGTTCGCTAAATATATTTTGTTGGCAAATGCTTGCAGAGCTGCCCTCTGAACAGTGGTCATGTGCGTGCCGCGTAGTGGAGGATGAAATGCATTTTATTCTTTATTTTTTCTGTTCCTTCCTCTGTCTCTTTTCATCCAGCCGAGACCTTGACGTGCTCCAAGGGCATTGCTTGATTTGAGGCTGAAGGGTCTTCTGGCCCTGCTGGGATGCCATTTCCTTCTCTTTCCACTTATCCTCTCCTCTAATGGTCGATTAGTTATCATCTGTAGGAGACTGTTCTTGGTACCCTTTTGCTGGATTAGGGCGCCGATTGAAGCAGCCTGTGTGGGCGGGGGCCCGGAACCTTTCTCAGGGGGTGAGGAGGGGATATTTGTCAGACTCCTCAGTAGTGACCTAGATACCGCTTGGCAGACAGTAGAAATGCTGGAAGTATGTCCCTCCATAATAAATCCGCTCGCAAGCACGCCACACCTCATAAATGTATGAAGCATTTATTGACTGATAGTAGGCCTGAAAACACTATTTTCTGAGCATTATTCAAGACCTTTCATAAATACTCTAAAATGTACGCTGGAAATAAGTAAGGCACACCAGCAGCAAGCCATATACCTAGAGGATATTCTGTTGACACTCTCTTTCCTCCTACAGAATTGTGTTATTATTTTTTTTTTGACATTTTTAAAAAGGGAAAAAGAAAAAAGCCTCAAGTAGAATCATTCCTCTCCACCTACAATCCCCCTTAGCAAACCAAGACTTAATCACAGTCTCGAACTTCCAGGAACTTGACCTTTTAACAGTCAATCTGAAAATTTCTGATCAGCACTAGTGAGGTAAACTGTATGATAAAAAGCTTGCCTTCCGGGGGTGCCTGGGTGGCTCAGCTGGTTCAGGTCATGATACCAGTGTCCTGGGATAGAGCCCATGTTGGGCTACCTCCTGAGTGCGGAATCTGCTTCTCTCTCTCTCTCTCTCCCCCCCCCTTCTGCTGCTCATGTTCTCACTCTCTCTCAAGTAAGTAAGTAAAATCTTAAGGGAAATAAACAAAACAAAACAAAACACCTTGCCTTCCCAGTAGTTAGTAAGTATAAGATCCTACATCAACCAAAACAGTCTATGACTTCCATGGCCAGAAAACTCTATCACAGATTTATTGAAGAAACAGAATACCAAAGATTACTATTTTATCTTATTTTTAAAAAATATTTTATTTATTTATTTGACAGAGCACAAGCAAGGGGAGCAGCAGGCAGAGGGAGAGGGAAAAGCAGGCTCCCCATGGAGCAGGGACCCTGTTGTAGGGCTTGATCCCAGGACCCTGAGCTCATGACCCAGGCTGAAGGCAGACACTAAACCAACTGAGCCACCCAGGCATCCCCAAAAGTCATTATTTTACAGTGGAAGCCCACATAAAGGAGTTGACAGCTTTGAAAGCTGACACATGTTTTCATGTGATAATGAGTATCTTACCACACTGCTGGAGGCTGTCAGAGGTCAGAGTGGGAAGTCTTACCTGATGCATTATAACCTGAAGCCCTTGTGATCTTTTGAACTGGCCAGCAGTAGGGTATAGAGGCTACTTCTATAGTTACCTTATATGTAGTTTCTTTATGTATAATTTTTTTGGCTTTTTCATTTTCTTTTCTAGTTTCCTACAAAAATACAACTTTTTAGTAAATAAGTAAAGCATTAAAAAAAGAAACCCTCAAAACAACAACAATAACAAAAACTTGCTTTTCTATACTACCCACAAAAAAATGCCCTGGCTTGAAACAATCCTTTCCTTTAACTTGCTAATAATTTTCTTGCCCCACCCTACTACCATTTTGTACAACTCCTCAGGGTTCCTTTCTACATGCTAGATGGGCGGCTGCCCCATTCATAAATTGTTTAATAAAGCCTATTGGATCTTCAGGTTTATTCAGTTGAATTTTTAAAATTTTGTTTTTTTAGCAAAATCTTGTTAATCTGTGCTATAAAATTTGCTTTTATCAAGTTGTTTTGACATGTTATCAACCTATGATACAGTAAGTAGCCTTCTAAACTTGGTCTGGTATGAGTTCACTACAGTTGCATTTACACACAATGTAATGAGTATACCTCATTCTTTCTTGCATAGCTCAGTCCAAAAATAACATTCTGGGTAGAAATTCTACCTTGTCTTTGCATTTTTGTGTAGTTGGCTGTATTTATCTAATAGCCACTAAATCATGTAAACAAGGAGGCTCCCTTTGCATGTTAGAAAGTTTAAAGCCAAGTTGGCAGTGGACCCATGGCAACAAGTATTATATGTATATTTGCATAAACTTTGCCATTGGTCCATTTATATATCTATTTTTTATTTTTCCCTTTCCCCATATTATCTGTGTTATCAGTATGTTTGTGAATCAGTCTATCATCTACCATAACTCTTGAAACATACAAAGGTATAAAGAGTTATAAGTAGCTACTCTTAAAGCTGCCTCTTCTGTCCTTCTGGCCAACCTACTATTCTTGAAGCTTTAGCAACCACCCATATCCTATGTGATTGATTAACTAAACCGTTTTTTTTTTGGGGGGGGGGGTCTATCTAAGATCATGCATTCTTTCCTAGAAAGGAATGAGCTCTTCTGCATGTCTCAAAACAGAAATCAGACCCTCTTGCATATCCCCCCAACCCTAATGCCCTGCAGTAAGGAACCAGACTCCCTTGCACAATCTCTGAGCACTGTGAAAGTATCTATAGCTGGCACCATTAAGTCTGCACAATAATCAAGAAATGTTACAGACCACTGCACTCCCTTTACTGATTAACTTCTCTAAACTCCTTTAAAAATCCTTGGGCCAACAGAAGCCTCCGAGTTGGCCTTTGGGCAAGAGTCTGCCTTCCTCTAGGTTGTCAGCCTCCTGAATAAAGCTCATATTCATTTCCAATTAAAACTCATCTCTTGAATATTGGCTTTTTGAGTGACAGGCAGCTGAACTTGGGTTTTGGTAGCACACTGGGCATTGAGCAATATGACTCTCATTAAGTCAAGCTTAAGGAGTTCCACAAATTGGTGGCTTAAAACATCAAAACTTTATTCTCTTATGGTTCTGGAGGCCAGAAGTCTAAAGGCAGTGTCACTGGGCCAAGATCAACGGATTGACAGGGCCATACTCCCTCCAAATGCTCTAGGTAACAGTCAGTTCTTTCACTCTCCCAACTTTCTGGTGGTTGCTGGCATTCATTGACTTTTGGCCACATCACTCCAGTCTTCAAGGCCATATCTCTCCACCTCCTCTTCACACCATCTTCTCCTCTCCATGTGTTGGAACTCCTAATGCCTCCCTCTCAGAGAGATACATTTTTTTTTAAAGATTTTTTTTTTTTAATTTATTTGACAGAGACCACAAGCAGGCAGAGAGGCAGGCAGAGAGAGAGGAGGAAGCAGGCTCCCCGCTGAGCAGAGGAAGCAGGCTCCCCGCTGAGCAGAGAGCCTGATGCGGGGCTTGATCCCAGGACCCTGGGATCATGACCTGAGCCAAAGGCAGAGGCTTTAACCCACTGAGCCACCCAGGTGCCCCTCTTCTTCTTTTTTTAAAAAGATTTATTTATGAGAGAGAGGGAGGGAGCAAGCAGGGGTAGGGGCAGAGGGAGAGGAAGACAAGCAGACCCTCCACTGAGCAGGGAGCCCCAACACAGGGCTTAATCCCAGGACCCTGGGATGGTGACCTGAGCTGAAGGCAGATGTTTAATCAACTGGGCCATCCAGGCAACCCCCCAGATTAAGGTTTCTTTAGGGATAGTTCTTATAATCAGAGATTGCATTATAAATTTCTATTTCTAATCCTCAGTCTTTTAAAATTGTGGGCTGCTCAGTGGGGAGCCTGCTTCTCCCTCCTTTTGGTTCTCCCCCCTACTTATGCTCTTTCTCCCTCTGTCAAATAAAGAAAATTCTTAAAAAATAAAATTGTGGGCTATGAATCATTATTTGGTTGTGAAATCAATTTAGTAGCTTGTGATCAGCCTTAAAAGACATTAGAATAGGGACTATCAGAATGCATCACATGTAATGAGGGTAATTATTTTTTTAAAGATTTTATTTATTTGAAAGACAGAGATCACAAGTAGGCAGAGAGGCAGGCAGGGGGAGAGAGGGGAAGCAGGAGCCGGATGCGGGGCTCGATCCCAGGACCCTGAGATCATGACCTGAGCAGAAGGCAGAGGCTTAGCCCACTGAGCCACCCAGGTGCCCCAAAGTTTTTATTTATTTACTTGAGAGAGAGAAAGAGAGTGAGAACATGAGAGGGGAGAAGGTCAGAGGGAGAAGCCGACTCCCCATGGAGCTGGGAGTCCGATGCGGGCCTTGATCCCAGGACTCCAGGATCATGACCTGAGCCGAAGGCAGTCACTCAAGCCACTGAGCCACCTAGGCACCCCTTGTAATGGGGGTAGTTATTGTTTCATGAAACAATATGTATGTATTGGATCATAATGTAAAATATCCTTCTTGTTCTAGGTGGTGGCAAAATGGAAAGCTTCTGTTAAATACAGTCATTACTCATCATACTCAATGGCAAATATTTTTTACCATTAGACACAGCAAGAATTAAAACTCGTATCATCTTCAGGTTCTTACTGTGTGGCCTAGTCCAAGGGGCGGGTAGATATTTATTCCTTTTGGTAAATTAATTTACAGATTCCATGTTTCTATAAGTACTCATTCCCAGCATTATCTCCTATCTTCTATTTCTGCATTTACAATAGTTCTTTTCTCACTTTACACACACACACACACACACACACACACACACACACACACACACACACAAGTGTATCCCTCACCTAGAGTATA